TAAATGATCAAATTAAATATACAAATGCGTTTGATCTTTTACTTGTTCTCTCAATTAAATATTGGGATAAAATAAAATAATCTATTTATTTATATTTATTTGGACAGGGTTAGAAGATGCTCAATCAGTTGATTGCAATCCGGATTACACTGAGAAAGACTGCGATAGAGACTGTAAGGCTTCGGGTTATCGAGGAGGCTATTGTGGACCTGACCATGCTCAACCACTTTTACGCATGTGTTATTGCAAGGGTTAAAAAACAAAATCATAGCTTATATGTTGTGAAACAAAGACGATAAAGAAAAGAAGAAAAGAGATTGAGACGAAAATAGGGTTTTTTATTACTCGTGTGTTACAAAGAATAAAACCTAAACTCCATATATATACATCCCAAAAAACCCGGTTTACTAACGTATACCGTACCACGGGGGGCTGCGCCCCCCGTACCCCCAAAAACCCTGCCTACCGAGTTACCAGTACATTCTAGACTTGGGCCGCCTTCTGGACCTTCGGCCCAGCGAAAGCTGGCCTTTTACCACTATGTATCTGATTATAAGTCACTTAGATAACATTATATATGTCAGAATAACAGAGTTAAAACATAAAATAAATAGACGTCGAATATGTATTGTTCGTCTGTTTAATAATACTTTTTATTTGAATACTATTTATCTCGTAATCTCTTTAGTTTTGTTTATAGTTCCTTAAGTTCAACATATGAAGTAGATGAAACTTATTTTGCCAACACTTAATTTGGGCTTCAATTCTCTTCAAATGATGATAATGTCCATTTATATTTTCTTAAATCTCATTGTTCTTTTTTTTTTCTCAGCATCTCTCTCCTCCCAAAATTATTTAATCAATAATTTGTATATTTGTCTTTATTATATAGAACTAGATTTTGACTAATGCTAAGCGTGGGATTAAATGATTAAATATAATTTAAATCAGTTTTAATATTGAAATATGTATAACAAAGCATATGATTTCTAATATTTATAAATTTACAAAAAAAGTATACATTGTGGATAAATATAATAAAATTAAATTTTTATCAAACATATTTTGATGTCATTAGTTTATCTGCTAAATTGATAATTATAAAATTTTAAGTGTAAAATTAATTTTTATTATTCGTGTAAATCATAGAGCATGCGACAAATCAAATAAATTTTAGAGTTATATGAATTTGTCGGAAATAACAAACAAAAAATAATATATGTTTTCCAATAAGAAAATGTGTAAACATTTGTTTATATCATACTAATCTAAATAACTATATCCCC